TCAATGTCCACCAATTATAATGTAATTATATAATACCTTCCAAGGGCTTTCCCTACCTCAACATCCACATACAGTTTTTACTCTCTTTCGTAAAAATTCCCTTCTCTCGTAGAACGCTTCTCCATCCAGGGTAAACACAAGCAGTCTCTCCTTTTTCACGTCCTCCTTGGTTATTCCAGCTCAGGCATGCTTTTTCTTGTCTGAACACCTATAGCATTTAGAGAAAATGAACAGTAATGTCAATCCAGAGTATGACTTTACTAGTAGGACTTGTGCTATCATGGTCTTTTGATTCTCCACAATAAAGCAGAACATTGCTTGCTATTAATTGAATGTAAGAAGGATACTGAGTGTTAAATCCCCTTCTTTCTCCCTTCATAATAAAAAAAGAACTAAATTTTTTTGATCTTTTAAAATGTATGCTTTTAATATGCTACATACTAAGCATATTTCATACCTAATCTTATTTAATCCTGATGATAGTCCTGAGAGACAAATACTCGCTTGTTTGCACTTCACAGCTGAAAAGTGGTACTACTGCTTAACCAAGGATAATCAGCATGTAGCAAGTTCAGGATTTGAATTTCGCACTTTTCCTTATAGCATGTTAAAAAGCAGAGACATTACTTTGCCAACAAAGGTCTGTCTAGTCAAAGCTATGGTTTTCCCAGTAGTCATGCTTGGATGTGAGAGTTGGACCATAAAGAAGGCTGAATGCTGAAGAATTGATGCTTTTGAACTGTGGTGTTGGAGAAGACTCTTGAGAATCCCTTGCCCTGCAAGGAGATCCTACCCGTCAATACTATAGGAAATTGATCCTGAATATTCATTGGGAGGACTGATGCTGAAGCTGAAACTCCAATACTTTGGCCACCTAACTCAAAGACCCAACTAGTTAGAAAAGACCCTGATGCTGGGAAAGATTGAAGGCAGGAGAAGAAGCGGACAGTTAAGTGGTTGGATGCTATCACTGACTCAATGGACATGAGTTTGAGCAAGCTCCTGTAGTTGGTGAAGGGCAGGGAAGCCTGGCGTGTTGCAGTCCATGTGGTTGCAAAGTGTCAGACATGACTGAGCAACTTAACAACAACTTTCTACCTTCAGAGGCCTTTCTCTCACACCACAATATCCTTGAGAGATCTGGACTTCCTTTTTATCGGGCATCTTGTATTATTAAAACATACCAAAGTGCCACAGGCATGGGACTTCCCTGGTGTCCAGTGGTAAAGAATCTTCCTGCCAATGCAGGGGTGGTCCAGGAAGACTCCACATGCCAATGGGCAATGAAGCCCTTCTGAGCCTGTGCTCGCGAACTGGAGAGCCACAGCTATTGAAGCCTGCACTCCATAGAGCCTGTGCTCTATAATAAGAGAAGCCACTGCAATAAGAAGCCCTCACACCACAATTAGAGAAAGCCTGCCTGTAGAAACAAAGACCAGTCCAGCCAAAAATAAAATAAATGAATAAATTTTCTTAAAAGGTGTCATAGTCGTTAGAAGCCTATTTGGGGATCTCAAGTCAAATGATAAATATCTGCTTTCAGTTTCATCATAGAATCTTTATTCAGCCTCATTTGGAGATAATGTCTCAAGTCCAAATTTAAGACCTTTGGCAAATTAGAGGCTTGAGCCAAGTGGTGACTGCTGCTCACCATATGACACCCATAATATGCTGTGGCCTTCAGTCGTTTCCATCTGGTAGCCTGGTCTGTCTGACTCATTCCTCTCCCCAAGCCCCCCACTTTGGGTTCTCCCCAGGCAGCGGGTGCAGTAGCACTTATTATTGGGTCTCTTTGTTTTGGAAAGTAAAAGTATTGAGGCTTCTCAAATATGAGTCTGACCAAAGACTACAAGGGCCCTGACTTTTAAAACTCGTTTTAGTGCCGCTTTCCTGTTGAATTGGATCTTTGGTTCCATGCTGGGCAGTGCAAGCAGGGTGGGTGCTAGCAAATAGGGCAAGTTTGGCAGAATAGCTCACCTACTAGGGGCCAAGGTTTAGGTAGGTTTTGGTTTTGTTCAGGCTGGCCTCGAATACACCTGAATCTTTTTTCAAAGTGTCCAAGTGTGGGAGTAAATACTAAATAGAGAGGGAGGAAATGAGCCCGTGGGAGGGATAAACAGATGTCCTCCTGTGCACACCTTTGATTACTGGTATAAGGAGCTTTCCAGGGCGCTGGCTGGCAAGAAAGATGCGAGTTGTCATGTCAACACTTGTGGTTTCTTTACATGTATTTACAGCGTTTCGCTGGGTTTTAGTGCTTTATTCTAGGAACAAATTACTCAGGCAGTGTGGGGCCAAGAATATTCCTGGGGGACAGGCCATGTGCTCCAAACGGTAGCCTGGGCTTCTTGCCTTCCCTGTCCTCTCAGCCAGACGTGCAAAGCCAGGCCACTCTTGGCTTTCCGTGTGGACAGAGACAAAGAGGAAGAGGCCTGCAGGCTGCGCTCGGAATAGGAAGCAAGCTGCTCTTGCTAAAGATTCAGGCGTAGGGGGATGGGGCACTGTCTTTTCTCTAGAGGGTAGGGAGGGACCAAATCACAGAATCAGGATGCACAATGAATGGCTCCTGGGCTTGTTTGGCCTGTAGGTTTGTTTTGTTTGGCCTTGTACTGTTTGGCCTGAATCATATTTTAAATTTAAATTAGCTGTCAATTTTTTAAACATTAGGAAATTTCACATTTAAAAAGTTGGGACCTTTACCTTTATGTAGAAACTCAGAACATCTTATTCCTGCATCTCAGTGATGACTGATGCAGAGAAGCAGCTCCCCCATAAAGAGGCAAGTATTCGCCATGTTACTATAGTCCCAGCTGTTCCGCAGTGATCCCAGACACTGAGGCCATGTTCCAGGTGTCATTCATCATCTTTCCCCAACTCAGTTTCCTCCTTTCCTATGTTATTCTCCTGGCCCCTTAGACATTTGATTTCGATAGGTAGTTGTAAAAGACCTTCTGTTTCACAGAAAAATATCTGGGCCTTGTCCCCTGTCAGTCAGAACTGTTGCTGGTTTTTGACCCAGGAGGGATTAGCTGAGGTTAGGGTTGAGAGACGATGCTGGCTCCTTTCCTCAGGTTCACCCAGTTTCCAATCCATCCTGCACCTGAGTAGCAGTTGTGAAATGGATACAGCAAGCAACCCAGATGGGAAGGCCTTGTTGAGGCAAGTGGCAAGGGTCATGCATAGAAGAAGAGAGATTCTGGAAGCACTTTAGGGACAGAATTCAAAGTTTGGACCAGCTGGGTTGCATGTCATGTGGAAGAAAGAAAAGTGAAGAGGCTTGAGCTTCTGGGCAGATGATGAGACTGCTGATGGAGAGAATGAAATCAGTGTTTGATGTGTCTGGGTTTAGGATCCCGAAGCAAATTGACTTTGCCCAGATACAGACATTTGAAAAGTAGGGCTGTCACACATAATGAATTCATTTCCTACCGAAACACGTTTCTTTGTTAAATTAGCATTGTGTTCATTAATAAATGTGTGTAGTAGCTAGCTACAGATATGTGTGAACCCCTTCTTAGACAGCAGGGCCTTTCAGAATAGAAAATCTCTGCCTTATTCACTGCCATATTCCTGGTGCTTTAAAAATAATATCTACTATGTTATATACACACAAGAAGTACTTGCTGGATCATTCCATCAATCACTTAATTAAAGAACAAGAATTGGGGATAGTTTAAAGTACCCTTGTTATAAACTCAGTTATTATAAATTTTTGCTCATTTAAAGTTTTGCCTTCATTTGTCTCTGCTGCTTGCCACTCCTTCCAATGTCGCCTCCAGTACTCACACACACCTGTGCACATGTTTAAGTGGGAAAGTGCATTAGATGTGTGTAGTAATGCATGTCATTTTAGGCAATAATAAAGAGTTCTCTGCTCTTAATCCTAAAGTGATCTTTACTTTTTATTTTGACCCGTTTATTTTTAAAGCAAGTGTATGCAGAGGTTTCTTTATAGAAACACACCTGTAGACTCCTGGATTCCTCATTCAGTGCATAGATTTCAGGGGTTGATTGAGGAAGGTTCAGCTGCTAGGTCTTTAGAAGAGTTTACAAGTAATTATATAATAAGTTAATATATTTTTATTGTAGACAAAATACAGATGTGTATAAAATAAAAAGGAAAGGCCCCACTTCAACTCTGTCTCCTTAAGCTGATTCCTTTCCCCAGAATTAATCATAGCTCATTTGTGTAGGTATTCTTTAAAAACATTTTATTTCTATGCAGTTATGGCACAAATCTATATTTATAAAGACATCTTTATTTGATTTTTTTTTTCATCAATTGGATCATGCTGTGGGTGCTCATGCGTGCTCAGTCGCTTCAGTTGTGTCTGACTCTTTGCAATTCCATGGACTGTAGCCCGCCAGGCTCCTCTGTCCATGGGATTCTCCGGGCAAGAATACTGGAGTGGGTTGCCATACCCTCCTCCAGGGGATCTTCCTGACCAAGGGATCGAACCTGCGTCACCTGTGTCTCCTACATTGCAGGTGGATTCTTTACCACGGCACCGTCTAGGAAGTCTCTTTTATTCACAGTATGGTGCTTTGTTACATCTGTACCTTTGATTATTTAAATGTAGTTCATGGACATTTAGCCAGTTTCTGGTTTTTCATTGCTGTGAATAATGCCACAATGAACATTTTGCCATTGCCTCTGTGAAGATATATGAGCATTTCTCTAGAAAACATCACTTGAGTTAGAATTATTGGTACAAGATATGTACATTTAAAATTCTGATAGATATTTCAAATTTGTTCCTCCAGAAATCTGTACCAATTTCTCTTTAACTCGTAGGATATAAAATAACTCTTTCCTGCTCCCTTGCCTGAACTAGATATTCTTTTTAAAAATATTATTACAGGTTCTGTGGACAAGAAAATGCAATATCATGGTTGTTTTAAATTGCATCACTGTTCCCAGGAGGTAAAGCTCTGTGTGCTGAGAGCTTTGCTGACCATTTCCCCCTGTGTCTAAGTGTCACTCTTCCCTCCCCTTTCAGATGCTCACTACCTTACCTGCAGGATTCAGGAATGTGCCGAGACTACTCGGAGTGGGCCTTTTGCCCGCTCCATCGACATCAGTTCCCTGGTGGTCCAGGATGAATATATATTCATTCAGGTGAGTCCAGATGCACCGTCACTTGTAGAGGGAAGATGCATGGGTGAAGTCAAACTGCTCACTAGGAATTATGGGGATGGCTTCCCAGAGGCTGTGAAGTTGTGGAGCTGGGGTGCTGTCCCTTCTTTCTTTGGGTACCCAGTCCCCTGGGGAAACTCCAGACTTCCTGGGAAAGATGAAGGTGTTATGGGTCATTATTGTTTACAGGGAACTTTAGTGGCCCTCTGAATCCCTTGAATTGCTGTTTTATTCTATCAATGGGGTGTTGAAATGACCTGGACTTGGGCTGGGATTTGAGATTACTTGGAATCAAGTCTTATTAGAAATGAGTAATTAGAGATGAGATAAGTAATTTATCAAAGCCACATTCTGTTTCTGTCCAAAGTGACTTGTCTAATGTGGGAATGAGAATCTCCAAGAAGTTAAGCCTCTCTAGGATTTTATTTCTGTGACAATCTAGGTCTCACTAAATCTTCCCCTTCCTTTCCAGTGCCTACCACCCCTTAAAATGTGAAGCCCCAAGTTCTTGACTCCAAGACCTCTATGACTCTTAGAGAAAACTGGATGTAACTAACATTTTCAGGCAGGCAAAGGAAGCCTTGGTTTAGATTTTGAGTTTCACTGGAAGGAAGTTCAAAATAGATTTAAAAATGAGGGGAAAGAAAAGAAGATGCTCTACTGAGTGAGGGACTCTGTGTGTGTGTGTGTGTGTGTGTGTGTGTGTTACTGAGATAAATCATACTTGGATTTGAGGGCAAGTTTGATTCCTCCCTGGAGAAGGAAATGGCAACCCACTCCAGTATTCTTGCCAGGAAAATCTCATGGACGGAGGAGCCTGATAGCCCAAGGGGTTGCAAAGAGTCGGACACGACTGAGCCACTTCACTTCACTTGATTCCTCCCAACCCCGCCTTTCCACCTTTCTCCAGTCCTTTGTTTTCCAGACTGCTTCCTCTAGGAAACAGTTTCCTAAAGTTTCTCCATGTTCTAAGTTTTCTCTGCCTCACTCCTGGCCTCTTTGTCCACAGCAGGACTATCTTCTATGTGAGACCTTCTGTGTATTTCCAAGCTGGGTACGACTTCCTTGAAATTTTGCAGCTCTTATCATCTGCTGTTCCTCTAGCACATAGGTTATTAGGCATTGTTGCTTCGGTCTCAGTGGAGCTGTCTATTTCCAGATTGTGTTTTGCACTCTCTGAGAACAGGGATGATGTTTTATACACACATTTCACACTGAAGCTTCACCCTAACAAGGTGTCTTTGCAAATCAACGATGCTCAGTGACTACTTGTTTTATTGATTGACTCTACATGTAGCCGTTACTTTTTTTTTTCTTTTTTACAAATTAGCTGCAAAGATTTTTGAGGTCTAATATGATACAGGAGAGGTTTCACAGGTGGCGCTCATGCTAAAGAACACTCCTGGCAATGCAGGAGACAAAGGAGACACCAATATGATCCCTGGATCAGGAAGATCTCCTGGAGGAGGGCATGGCAACCCACTCCAGTATTCTTGCCTGAAGAATTCCATGGACAGAGAAGCCTGGTGGGCTATGGTTCATAGTGTCGCAAAGAGTCAGACACGCCTGAAGTGACTTAGCACACATGTATGCATGATATAGGAAACGTAGCCAGCCATTCAAAAACCAGCTTGAAAGAAGGAGTAAAAGAGAGATTTCTGTGTTTACATAATCACTGGTTTCTCAGCTTGATTAAAAGCCAGAATTTTAGGAAGTTTTTTCTAAATTTTGGCAGGTCATCGATACTACAAATTTCTTATTCATAGATATTTATTGAATACATACAATGCACAATACACAGTAGTAGGCACTACAGTTGGTGTTCCCGAGCTTTCTGCCTTTGACCATCTTAACCACCACCAGCTCCACACCACCCACCCCTCCCACCCCACCTGCCACTGCCTGGGAGATCTCATGGTTTTGAACATCTTCTCCATGTTCTGATAACTCTTAAGTGAATGTGCTATGACCTCTCTCATGTACAGCAGACCTACATATCTAACAGCCGTCTCAGTGTAGCTATTACATAGGTAAAATATAATTGCCATATCCCCTTTGAATTTCAACTACTCTCAGGGTAGGGTAGTTGATGGTTGAGTTGAGTTAGTCTGCCAGATCATTCAGGGTAGAAACCTGGATGTCATCTGTTAAAATTAAATGAACCCACAGCCTCTGCTAATATCACTGTTAGTTACTTCTCAAGTGTTTCCTTTCATTCTCTTCCCATTGTTATGGCCCCAGTTTCAGGCTTTATTATTGTTTTCTCAGTGTTTAATTTTTTAAGGTAAAAGCACAGGGATGATTTTTGAATTTACCAGTCTGATTGCCCTTTTCTTAATGCTAATACTGAGTAAAATGATGAACATGGCAGAATTGTTTCTGGGAAATATGACTTAGAATGTTCAGATATTTTTGGTTTCATTTCCTTGTATTGCATAAAGTTTTCTGTAACTGCAGGCCGATATCTGTATTTGTTTTCTAAATGTTCTGAAATACTCTTTTTTAAAAAAATATTATTGTTCTGGAAACCAATAGAGTTTTTTTCTCTTTGATCAGTATTAAAATTTCTTTTGAAAGAGATATGAGTTCCTATTACTCAAAAAAGTTTATTGATTCCCTACTACATTGTAGACCCCCTGTTTTAGGTGATGGAGTAGAGTTCCTGTTTTACATGTTAATGGGAGACAGGAAAAATTTGTAGATGATGTGTATATATACATACACACACACACACTGATTATATATATATATATATATATATATACACACACACACACACACACTGATATGAAAGGCCATGAAGGGCAGTGGCTAATGACCTTTAGTTTAGAGCCTGACAGCCAGCATTTATTCTGACCTTTGTCAAATAGCTGAATGATCTCGACCTCATTAGACTCATCTATAAAAAGAGGAAAATTGTAGTATCTACTTCATGGGTTGCTAAGAGGATGACATTTGTCAATCAAATCTATAAAGCACCAAAACAATGTTATATAAATGTTGCTTTCTCTTTATCTATCTTCTATATCATCTATTAATTTAGTTATAGAATATATCAGATAATGGCAGTGCTGTGGATCAAAATAAATGAGGGGCCATGAATTTTGGGTGTCTGTAGATTCTTCTATTTAGGATGACCTGGGAAGACCTCTTTGGTTGGGGATCAGGAAGAGAATGGCCAGAGTCTGCAGTCAGAGGGGGACGAGGAGCCAGGTCTCTTGTGCTCTATGCTTTCTTGAGCTCCTGATGCAGATGTGGGGTAGGCAGGTAGAAATTTGAGGCTGAGTTTAGAAGCAGGAATGGTGGAAAGGTAGGGGCTGGGGATATAAATTGGGAGGGTGGCAGTGTATTGATACTTCTGAACCACAACATTGAAGTCACAAAAGGAGTAAGTGTTGATAGAGAAGAGATCTAAAGACCGGGCCACTGGGTACTCCAGTATATAGAGTTCAGGGAGATGAGGAAAGTGGCAAATGAGACTTGGAAAGTTTAGAGATGACATCAGAAAGGCATAGGCTGGTAGATTCCACAGAGTCTTGAAGGGTTTTTTAAGGATTTATTATTATTACTAAATAATAAGAAATAAATGGGAAACAGTAAAATAACAATGCTCCAAATAATGCAAAAGACCAGTGCTCTTGAGCAAAACATTGAATTTCATTAATAATGAAGTAAACACAGATTAAATGCTATTATTTCCAACTATCAGTTGGGTAAGATGAAATGAAATAAAGTCAGTGGGTTGCAGGTAAACAATAATATACACTGCAGCTACGGATGTAAGTAGGTTGCCCATCAGTACTTAATCCGAGTACTTTCCTCCTCATAGGTGGGTTTGAGGGTTGATTTTGATCAATGTGAGAGATATATCTTAGTTCTGACAGTGTATGCTTAGTTTTTAGTCATAATTGTTTATTTTAAAAAAATTATATGATCTGTTTTCTTTGCTTCCCTGCATATGTATTTCTTTGAGGATTTTGAATATTTGTTCTAAGATTTATGAATATAATGTTATAGAGTATAGCATATCTTCTATTTTGTATAATCTATTGATTTCCTCCTGTGAGCAGTTTAAAAGTTAGTGCATTGCCATGCCTTTCTAGTTCCTCTGCTTTCTCTTTAATTCCTCTACCACCCAGTTTTGATTGGTTATATTATCTTTTAGTGTTTGCTTTCCTATCTTGAAATGCAAGTTTCTATTAGTTGAACTGTTTTATTAAGCACTGTTGAAAACAGGTGGAAAAAATAGTATGTGTGTTTATGATTGCCTTCTGTTTTCTTTCTATACAACCTCAGTTTGCTAATTAAACCATTTGGAACGTTTATATTCTGCTCAAACCAGAATTCCTGCATTTATTTTTATTTTAGTTTTGTAGGTAAATGAATTCAGTGCTCACCATCAGTCCTTTTACTAGCGTTTCCCATTTATTTCTTGGTTGTCTGAAATTTGTCTTTTAGTAAAGTCTTCAAGAAAGATGAATTCTTGAATGCCGAAAATATGTTTGTTTATCCCCTTTATGCTTTAATATCATCTTTTAAGTATAAAGCTTATGTGTTATTTACTTTCCATGAAAACTTTATTGAATGTTACTGTCTGTGGCTAGTCTCACATTTTTGCTTTTTATGTGTCTTTATGTATTTTTCACCCTTGATATGTAAAGATCATATATATATACACTATTTTATTTTATTGGTGTATGTTTTATGGTTGTTAATACTATGTTGATTCTTTCCACTGGAATATGTCTCATTTAATTGGCTCAATTTCTCCTTTCTTTTTAATTTCTCAAAAGTTTCTGTGTTTTGGCTCTCTTTCTTCTAGACACTTAGAATGTGTACAATGGACAAGAAAAACAAAGGGAAGACATCAAATTTTTTTCTTCCAGTATGTTTAACTCCCTGAGCAAAATGAGATTTATGGAAACAGTTTTATTCGTACTATCCTTGAATGAGTATTTAGCCATGTCAGGCTTCCCTGGTGG